ATGAGGGGATGAGGGGATGGGGAGAGGGACTGAGGGGATGAGGGGATAAGGGGATGGGGAGAGGGGATGAGGGGATGGGGAAAGGGGATGAGGGGATGAGGAGATGAGGGGTGGGGAGAGGGGATGAGGGAATAGGGAGAGAGGATGAGGGGATGAGGGGGTGACTGATGGAGAGGGGTAATGGGAAAGGGGTAACAGGAAGGGGATAATGAGAAAGGGTGATGGGGAGGGGGTAATGGGGAGGAGCATGAAGGAGAAATGAAACGGTGAGGGTGAGAGGGACAGAACAATGAGTATAAGGGATGTCGCATGGGGAGAGGCGCTAAGATGACATGGAGGGGATGAAGCAATGGGGAACGGTGACACAGGAAACAAAGCAGCTACACGGTCCCAGGGGACCTTAGGACCAAGTCTACTGTGACCAGGCCCCTCCACGATTAAGTCAGGGCACTTGGAGCATTGCAAACACCAGCTCTTCACTACAGAGCCTTTAGCAATTTCCTATATTTCAAATAAGTAGTGGAATAGTTTATTATAATTATATTAAAGAACACAAAACAGAACTAACAGGGTTCAAATATACAAAGCTACAGGTTCATGCTTGAGGAAAAGTGTCACAGAAGCGCACAAACCCACAGCCGTATGTTTATTCTGTTATAATACTGTTATAGTACTGTTACAATACTGTTTTATATATATACTGTTAAATATATATACACACACACACACACTGTTATACATACTGTGTCACAGAAGCACACAAACCCACAGCCGTATGTTTATTCTGTTATAATACTGTTATAGTACTGTTACAATACTGTTTTATATATATATATACTGTTAAATATACACACACACACTGTTATACATACTGTGTCACAGAAGCACACAAACCCACAGCCGTATGTTTATATTGTTCTTTAAATTAATCTTACCATAGGGTAGACAATCTTCACGCTTTCCATGCTTAAATATTTGAGCCTGAAAAAATAATATACTTTTAATACATTTCTAAGTTTAAAATGTACACAAGTTATCAGAACAAACTCATTACATCTTCCAGAATTTCTGCTGAGCACACACCTGTGGACTATTCCTTTATACCAGGTGAATATATGTCGCAGTGACTGGTTTACTAGAGAAGCTGGCTGGCCCACAGCTGCACAGGATAAGGTTAGTTAGGTGGGAGAACCACACTAAGAGGACGCTAGGAAGAAGAGGGCAAAATCCACACTGAGACACATGGCCGAGCACAGATTAAGAAATAAGGGCTAATGTAGTTGGCTAATAACAAGCTTTAGCTATTGGATAAGCATTTATAATTAATAAGAAATCTCTGTGTGGTTATTTGGGAACTGGCTGGCAGGACAGAAAAGTCCGCCTACATACATCACCAAACACCGGGTGAAGAGAGTCAGTTCATGGTAGAGGAAAGTTTAGAAAAGGAATCGTCCAACAGGTCTGCTCACAGCAAGAGCACACCAATGCAGTCTAGTCCTCCAAGGGGCTCAGATCCTAACCTGCAGTACGTACAGACTGAACTAAAAAGAGATGCAAAGTCTCATCGTTGTCATCTATGTACAAACTGAGAGTTGTAGACCAGAGGATCCACACAAAGGTAAGAAGCCACAGAAGTCTTCCCTCCTCTCTCACCACCTTAGCCAACCCAGAAGGGTTCCGCCCTCCTCGCCTTCCACAGAACAGTCTTCGACCCTCTGCCACAGCTCACCTCTGCATCTAGCACCGCCCCAGCTCACCCTCCCTGTGAGGGCAGCTGCACAGCATGTAGACCCTGTACACAGTGCTAGATTTGGAGGGCAGCAGCAGACAACTACCTGACTTCACTAGAACTAAGTCTTTCTCACTAGCACACTCGCTAGATTGTTGACGCTTACCAGAACAGTATGCCTTCAGTTAGAACACTGATCATGATCTCCTGGAATCTGTTCCTGGCTTCTACACACGCATTATGTCAAGCATGCACCAACATTCACACACACACACACACACACCATGCACACATACACACCCACCACGCACACAGACCATGCACACACACCATGCACACACACACACACACACACCATGCACACACACACACACACACCATGCACACACACACGAATATTTTTTAAGAACACTGACCCTCGCTGAAACACTGGTCCTCACTTTTCACTGGAACACCAGTTCTCTTTCACTAGAGCATTGGTGTCACACTGATTCCACACATTTACACACATGCAAAACACAAGCACAAGTGGACATGGTGGTTCGTGCCTATAATCCTAGCACCTGAGAGACAGAGACAAGAAGGATCACCATCAGCTCGCAGCCACCCTGGTCTACACAGCAAGTTCCAAGGTGTCCAGAGCTACACAGGAAGAACCCTGTCTCAAGAAACAAACAGGCAAATAAAACATGAGCATAAACACATGTAGACACACAAGTTATAAGCATTTAAGACCGGCATAAACCCATATAATGGTATATAGCAACACATATATACATGCACCAAAATCAAAATCAGGTCCAATCAGTGTCTAGTCATCTGCATTGGACCCTTCCTGCTAGTCCTCACAGGCATACACAAACATCACACACACACATACAGGCACACACATACACACACAATGTAGACACACATGTGTATAAGCATCCACGCAAACACACACACACACAATGTAGACACACACGTGTATAAGCATCCACACAAACACACACATTAAAACATAAAATCCAGGTCCTGATGTCAAGTCCCAGCATAGAACCCAGAGAAGTCTGATGCTTGTTGACTCCCCAGACTGCAAGCTGCTCAAGCAGAGCAGGGAGTGACAATGGGGAGTCTCACCTGAAAGCTGGGGCATCACAGGGCACACACTCTAAAATCTGTCCAGACAAGGGTCCTGCGGCACAAGCTGTGCCAGGCACTAGAGCAGAGGTAAGCTCTGGTCTCTCGTGGGATAAGGCAACCCAGCTGCTTCAGCTCCCCACTGGGAACGGGGACCAACCAATCAGATTCAAAATGCTGGCAGTCACAGCCCCTTAGCAGAAACCACACTGTCTTCCTTCGGCTCTTCCCCAGCCCATGAGTGATCGTCCTGGACAGAAGTCCCCATAACCTCATTTCTCTCTAGAGACCCAACAACCACAAACAGCATCACTTCAACAAACTCAGAGCAAATGAATGGCAACCCAGGACTTAGGCCCTCAACTGTCACCTCCAAAACACCATGTCATAGCTGAGAAAATCATTCCCCAAATACTCAGTGAACTTGGGTTGATAATAAGGGAGTCATCTGGAGCACTCCACGGCTTCCTTGAACCTGAAGAGGCCTCAGGGAGGTGTCACCAGGAACTCGCCTGTGGACCCTAGGGCCTTGCACGTTCCCACTCTCTATACCTGCCGCACTCAGCTGCCACACACAACTGAACACAACACAAGCACTGTACACTGTAACTCTGGAGTAAACAAGGGCAGAGCATGGCCCTGCTGGCTACCCTGACCACCATCTGGGACAGAAGCTGACTGCACTCTGCTGCCCACCTGTCCATCCATCTATCTCACAGCACATAAAAGCCAGCCCAGATTTGCAAACTGTGAACTCAAACAGTTCAGGCCCAGATCATAAATCGCATGGGGAATAATACACTTTTTTCACTTTTAAAAAGTTAGGTCAAACTTCACATGAATATCAACTTTCACCGTGAAAACTGCTGTGTACCCCTTAACACTACAGAATGCCACTCCCAGCAGGCTCTAGGGACCCTGTCTTCCCCTGCTCATTAGACCCTGGCTGGAAAAGCAAGCAGAATATAGGGGCCTGGCCTCAATGAACCTTTCAGAGTTAGCACATCCCAGAACCCCACAAAAGCACCCAATCAGATGTTCAGCAACCTTGTTCTGTTCTTAGTCATGGGGGGGGGGGGGGGAGAACAGGACCGCCTTTAACAAAGACAGCTTACAAAAATAACAAACCCTAAAATGAGCCAGTGTATCTATCTTACAAATACATCTGAACATTACAGGGCTTCATATTTTTATAAAAACCATTCAGGCTTCAATCAGTTTTCAAAGTAGTAGTCAAAACCCTGATAGTCTTTGGCTTAAAAAAATAACTGCTAAAAACAAAAGTTTCCAAACTTTCAAACCCATGAAACAATCTGGCACCAGACACAGACGGCGTAAGTCAGAGGCACTTTCCTGAGTCAGCTGTACAGAACCAGGGGTACAGTATCAGGACAGCATCACACAGGTCCACAGCCGTCCACGTGAGGCTTTGTGCCTGCCCAGAAAGCAGCCGGGGCACAGGCCACAGCATAAAACAGACAATGGCAACCACGCTTAAGGCATCATGGGCCTCAAGGCTACATTCCCAAGGCATACTGAAATCAGAACTGCTGTGTTGTGTGTGAGCAACAACTCTGCTGCTTTAAAAAGTTCAGAGGGTACAGCGCAGGGGTAGATATAGTCGCCTGCCATAATTAAGACCTGGATTCACATGTCCAACACACACGCACACACACACACACACAAAAGTAGACAGACATGCAGAATAAGGAGCCTGAGAAGGTCAAAGGGCAGTGACTTCAAAAGGATGGCAAAGGAGTGTTATGACCTTTCGGTCATAAATTAGCATAGGTCAAAAAATAGAAACTTATAGCTTGGCGGTGGTGGTGCACACCTTTGATCCCAGCACTCAGGAGGCAGAGGCAGGCAGATCTCTGTGAGCTGGAGGCCAACCTAGTCTACAAGAGTTAGTTCCAGAACAGGCTCCAAAAACTACAGAGAAACCCTGTCTCAAAAAACCAAAAAAAAAAAAAAAAAAAAAAGAGAACAAAACTTTAGCGCTCAAGACAAAGTTCAGCAGTTAAAAACACTTGCTGCTCTTGCAAAGGACCCAAGTTCAGTTCTCAGCATCCACATGACTGCTTACAACCACCTGAAATTCCAGTTCCAGAGAATCCAATGCCCTCTTCTGGCCTCCATGAGTACTGCATGCATGTGGTGCACATACAGAAAAGCAGGCAGAACATTCATACATATATGGAATTTTTCTAAGAAAACAAAATAAATGAAAACTTTGAGTAGAACTATATTATGTAAAGAATGGAGTTTGTGGTTTAGAAAACTCCCACAAATAAAATCCTAATAGAAAAAAAATCAATGACTTCACTACTGAATTCTAGCTAACATTCATGGAAAAAAATACCACTCTGCACAAACTCTGAGGAAATGCTAGCCAACTGGCTGTATGAGGTCACTATGACTCCAATACATAGCCAAGATTACAACAGAAAACTACAACCAACATCTATGGAATACAGATATAAAACCCTTGAATGGATGTTAGCAAACTGACTCCAAAAGCATACTACAAGGACTTTACACCGTAACCAAATGGGGTTTATCCTTCATCTGCAAGGGATGCAAGACTAGTTTAATATCCAGTAATCCGTTAATGTGTTATATAGCAAATTAACATAACAACAAATAAAAATACATGATTAGTTTCCTGATTCAATACATTGTAAAGGAGGAGGAGCCTTCTCAACCTTATAAAAGGCAGCTATGAAGGCTGAAGAGATAGTTCAGCAGTTAAAAGTATGTACTGCTCTTCCAGAGGACCCAAGTTCAGTTCCCAACACCCACATCAAGTGGCTTAAAACCACCTGTAACTTCAGGGGTCTAACAGCCTTTTGGGGCCTCCATAAGCATTGTTCTCACATGACAAACTCTCATACAAACATACACATATACACATAATTTATAATTTAATATTTTAATATCAAATTTAATAATATTAAATGATTTGATTAATGTAATACAGTTTAATTTAATTCTAAAATAAGAGCTTGCAGAACAGAGAGGTGAGCAGCATGGACATGGAGAACCAGAGACACACCAGCAGTCACATGTATAGGAACATGTCATTACCAAGTAGGGTGAGTCCTCGGGCAGCCGGCCAGTTAGGGCCACCACT